CAAAATCAGCTGCCTCCTCAAACGCATTGAATATACAGAGTGCGACGGCAGGATGCGCACTGCTGGTAACCTGGCAACTTCAAACCAAGGCCTTTAAAATTACAGCACTGTCTTCTGTAGGCCAATTACCCACACCTAAGCAACAGAGAATGCAGTTATCCTATTGCTGAATTGAACATGGAATAGAAAACAGAGTCACTACAAGTCCAACATTACCAATGGCCCTTACAAGGCACAGAGAAGTATTGTCTCAGGTCCATATTGCATCTAAAGTCACATGTGCAGTTAAGATCTGATTAGTCTACTACTCTAGAACTTCTATTGGTGGTGTGTGGTCACCCATGACAGCCAATCAGAATTCAGCCTTCAGCTGTAGACTGGGGCTTTAAACTGGCCTCTGCCATTGAGACTGGGCTGGCCAACCTGAGTTAAGCTGGACTGGCCATAGACAGATCAAAATTTGTCTGGTTCAGCAGGCCCAGCTATATTCTGGTCCATCTATGGCCACTCCCGATCAAATGGTACTACTGGAAACTAGTGATACATCGATCTATCAGCTGAATGATCAGCCGAAATAGGGTTATCAGCATTTTGCCAATAAGAAGAAAAAAAAAAAAGTTTGGATAATGGGCGAATCATTTATTAAGTCATTTTACGTTACTGGATTGTATTTTTTGCATTCATATTAAATGAAAATTTGTGATATTAAATTAAAAAGCCGAAATACAATTAAAAAAAAAAAAAAAAAAAAGAGTCCATTTCAGATTTCGGCCATGGTGCAGAATTTTAATTTCAGTGCGCCACTACTGGAAACCTTTTACGCGATCAGCAGCTGCAGCCAATTGGCTGCAGCACTGCTAAGTATGCTGACAGTGGAGAGTTCCCCTTTCTGAATACGGGAAGGATTCCCCCATCTGCCTCACTTGTGTGGATGGGGGAATCTTTTTTTTTTTTTTTTTTTTTGGCGATCAGCCCACTGGAGGATCAAAAAACACAAATGGCCAGCCTTAACTTAACGACTTAACCTGAGCCACCCCAGCAAATCTTCCTAATTAAAAAAGGTATAATGAGCATATACAGGCAAAATGTACATACTTTATCACATTAGATCTAATAATGCCCTGTAGGTAGCCATAGGAAAAGCCGATTTCTATGTGTAGGTCATTGTCCACTGAACTATGCTGTTAAATGAACTCAAGTGAATCCCATGATAAACCATTCTACCATCTCTATGTACATGACACCTAGACACATTTAGGCTACTTTCACACTGACCCATAGTGTTTTTTTACAGGACACATGGCTCAAAACCCACATTAAAACACAATGTGGGTATGTTTTTTGCCACATTCTCCAATGATTTCAATGGGGGGGTGCGTTTTTTGGTTGTTTTTTTTTTTTTTTTTACAGCACCAAAAATGCAGCAAGCAGAAGAGGGAAAAAAATACAAAAAAAAAAAAAAAAAAAAAAAAAAAAAAAAAAAAAAAAACCGCACCTGACTCACAATGGATCAGTGTGAAGAGATCCATAGGGATACATGGTCACACGTTTCTTTTACAACAGCAGAAGAAAAATGGATCAGTGTGAAAGCATCCTTACATTCATTGATAGCTAATGAAAAGGCTGCAGTTTCCTAAAATCAAATGCACGCCATATAAGTTATAATGAAACAGTGCCCCCTAATGGAGAAATTAAAGTGAAGATCAGTTAAACATAACATAAAACCTTTAAAAACAAGACAGACTAATGAAGGAGCGTATTAGTCCACCATAAAGAAAGTTTTAAACAAAAATATCATGTCCCTTAAAAAAAAGAACCCATGTTGTGTCCTGCCTCTTGCTAGATAAGAAAACTGTAGTGCTTCATAAATCCATAACTCAGACATAATAAGTGCGTCCGGTATCAAACACCTGAGTTTATTTCCTCAGGTTAGTAGGCAAACATCCGAAGCAGCCCGTCCTTCAAAGCAAGACTGGGAAAGAGAAGTCAAATGGCCCAACAATGGAGGCACTACATGAATTGGCAGTACTTCAAATACCGCAGATTTTTATAAAACCTTTTATCCCTTTGATGGTATATTTGATAACAGTTTTATCTCACTGCAAGCAAAAGCTGGCTCTCTCCACCAACAGAGGCTACTTGTGTGAACTGAGGGATTGTGCCAGTAGCTCTTCAAAACAAAAATTAAACAAAAAAGAACACAAAAAAATTAAATTATTACTGGTACTGCAGTGCAGGAAACTAGTCTGATAGGAGACAGTATTCCCAACACAAGGGAAGACAGAAGAAGGAAGACTTAAAAAAAAAAAAAAAAAAAAAAAAAAATTCTTCAACATTCTTTTTATGAGTGTTATACGATACACTTGTAAATCATACGGTTGAACACAAACTTCCAGGGAAACTGACAATATAGCAAGCCCAGAGTTTGTGATTGGCTCCATACTGGTCTGGGCTACAACAAGGGTGGCCTCATTACTTAAATAACTGCGATCCCATTGGGCAACAACAAGGTTGAAAGCTTGAGAGTGGAAACCACCACAACACAAAAGAGAACTGGCCTTTGAGCCAATTAAACTCCCTCAAGGTTAAGCATTGGATGCCCACACACAAGCAGGCACCATATCCAGTTAATTTGATGACTGGGGGGGTGAAGCATTAGAAAACAATGCAATTAGATCTCAAAAGTTCAAAACTGAACTGTTGGAACAACTTACTCGTATGTTTAATGATCTTTGAGTATGGGAGATGAAACTATTAAAAATCTACTTAAAAAGGTAGTTAAGATGCCAAGATAGGGACTCAGCTGGCTGCTATCAACTCAACAATGGGCCAACAGCCAAAATGATATTAAGAGTCTCAGCAAGAACATCTTAAAATTAAAAACGTGTGAAAGATTTTGGGAAATACATTGTAAAGAAAAAAAAAAAAAAAAAAAAAAAAAAGTGGAAACTACAATAAAAATATTGCAAAGGAAAAAAACAAAAAAAAAAAAAAAACAAAAACAAAAAAACAAAAACATACTAAGGGTCAAACTTTGCTTTGTGCAACGTCAGAGTACACAGAAATTGCAGTGTTTGCACGACAGCCAAAACATATTCAGAGTACATGACAAGTAGTATTATTTAGTCAAGTGCAAACACATGTGATACTCAGCAGTGATCCACCTGAATAATCTCAGTGTAAACTTTTCCCAAGCTTAGACAAACCTCAAACACAAATGATCTGTATACCCATTCTTGAACAGTACTTTAATGTACTAGTGCGGCCATCCCAGATGCCAACTTTCTCTCATTTAATAAGACAGCCTCTGCTTTTTAAGATTTAAAAAATGATAAGTCCTTCAAACCAAAATGGTCGTCTATTAACAGAAATTTGAAGCTAAAACAGAAAAAAAAAAAAAAAAAAATATACAATTTTGTTTTTTTTTTTCCCCACACACAATACTTTAAAACTGTCTTTTGGGTTATTTTGTGTTCCAAGGTCCAAGCATTGTGAGGAGTTTAATCAGATCTAGTACTGTCCCTGGAAATGAAGGCTTGACAAGCCAACGCAGGCTGGAGGTCCAATGGATCCCTGTGTAAGAGGTTCATTTCTCCGTTTAACACAGAATTCTGAAATCCCTGCTTACACAGGGTAGAAAACATCTCCGTAGCAAAAACAGCAATGATTAATCCAAGTGGCACTCCTTGATTTAGTGGAACTTGCACACCCACCCTGCAACACCTGGCTGGGAGCGAAGGACACAGCTGGAGGGGAAGGGCAGGGCAACCGCTGGAACAGGGAGGGCTCTCGGAGATACGGTAGGTATGAGGATACAGTATTAAAACCTCGTTCCTCCTGGACTCGTTCCAGGCCTGCCTCCGAAAGCATGCAAAAAAGAAATGGATAGCTTACCCAAGCAATAACAGTCTCCCCTGGGTTACTGAAGGCCAATTACCACCCAGGCTGGCTTCGGCTTACCAATTTAAACCACATGGAAGCCCACTTGTTCTTCACAGAAGGAAGCAGTGCAAATGAGCCATTGCAGATTTCGTGTTAGCTACAGCTGTCAATCATCACGGCCCCCGGTCTAGGTACTAACAGGAAAATGTATCCTACGAGGGTTATTCAGCTGCCAATTAAAGTCCTGCCACAAGCTCTTAGGGTTAGGCGCTAGACCAAGCTGGCCGGTCATCCTCTGAACCTCGGAGCCGAGATCCTTCCTGGAACGGCAGGTAAGTAAATATAAACCTCAGCAGGGAAGGGAGGTGGGGGCACTGGACAACACGGCTCAGCCGGACGTCGCTAGAGAGGTTTAAAGGAGATTAATCTACTTCTGGCTTGTCACTTCTACTTGGACACCACACAACGAACTCCTGACCTCCTAATACATTCAGAAAAAGAATAATAATGCCATTCACACAAGCATTCCTATACAGCGCGTCCGCGCATCAACGCACGGTGACAGCAGACACACACGCAGCACATTCTATATGGCCAGGCACTGGAGATCACCGTCTACTACCCCAAGCTCCCTCCTCATCCATTCTACATGATGCTAGACTGAAGAACCATTAACCCTTCACTGCAGCACCGCCAGCTGATGCCTTGCCAACTCAAAGGAAGTCTGTGTACAGGCCAATACAGAAGCTGCCCTCTGTAAAATGCCAGCTGCTTGGCTTTCAACAGCTTCAGAGTTGCTGCTTCCCAACAAGCATGCAGCCAGTGAAGCAACAGCATTGCAGCCAGGCAACCAGCATTTTCAGGGTTCCTTTTACACCTTTTTTTTCTTAGCCACCAGAAGGGACCTGCAATGCTTCGAAGCCTGTGTGCCATGGCATCCTCTTTAGCGGTGCATACACATGTTTTCATGGAGTAAAGTCCCACCTGGGGTCCTGAAGGTAGAAGCATTGCAGAGCCATTGTGATGGCAAAATAAAGTAGTAAAAAATGACTAGAAAAGTGGAGGATACAAATAAAAATTAGAAATCAAAGTTTCAGCAATGATCCCGAGTGACTCACCGGCCAGGCAAAACTGAAGGGAAGCACAATCCTGTTCTTGTCACTGTTCCGGCTGGACTTCAGGCTGAAGGAATTGCCTCCTAGGACCGGGGTAGATCCAGAGCCGAAGCTGCACGCCCCTCCGGCAGACACCCTGGACTGGTACTCCTTTAGGCAAACTTTAAAGTAAGTGTCACATTCATCCCTGGTGCACTTTCTGTCCACGGGGTTCCGGCTGCCGTCACAGCAATTCCCATTCAGCAATTCTCCATTAGGATTCTGCATAGATAAGATTTCCAACTCAAACTGCCCCGACGCTACAGACACCTGTTATAGGGATCAGAGAACATACCTATGAGCACCACAGCGATCACTGCAAGAAACCCTCCTCTATTTACATGGACTAGTACAACCTTCCTGATATAGGGGGCCCCTGACATCACCAAAGGGCCACACATAACATTCCATTCATGTACTAATACAAAAGACTGCAGGCAAACTACAAACTATGCATAGAGATTGCAGGCATAGAAAGAAGTTGTTGGCAGACTATAAACATGATATATGACCTATTGGAGACTGCAGACATACTGTAGGAGATGGTCAGAGACTGCACACACACTAAGTTGTTGGGACACCGTGAACATACTATATTACTTATTGCGAACTGAAGACATGCTACAGGAGAGGGTCAGAGACTGCAGACATGCTACAGGAGCGGGTCAGAGACTGCAGACATGCTAAAGGAGTTGTTGGTAGACTATAAACATGATATGAGTTATTGGAGACTACAGGCATACTACATTGGATGATCAGAGACTATAGACATGCTATGGGAGTTATAAGAGACTGCAGGCATACTACATTGGATGGTCAGAGACTGTAGACATACTAAAGAAGTTGTTGATAGCCTATGAACGTGATATTGGAAACTGTAGACCTACTACAGGAGAGGATCATAAACTATGATATAGGAGTTATTGGAGACTGCAGACATTACTACAGGGGATGGTAAGAGACTGCAGGCATACTACAGGGGATGGTCAGAGACTATAAACATGATCTATGAGTTATTGGAGGCTGCAGGCATACTACGGGAGAGGGTCAGAGACTATAGACATGCTAAGGGAGTTATTGGAGACTGCAGACCTGCTACATTGGATGGTCAGAGACTATAAATATACTAAAGAAGTTGTTGGGAGCCTACGAACATGATATTGGAATGATTGGAGACTGCAGACATACTACAGGAGAGGGTCAGAGACTGCAGACATAGTAGAGGAGATGGTCAGTAGACTGAGGGTCACTCTTCAGGAGAAGACATTATTCACACAGCCTTACACATGGACCTTAACTTTCACCCATGTGATTGTAAATGTCAAATCTCATTGGACTCTAATAAAAATGATTGTCACTTTGCTGAAGAGAAGTCTCTGGTCATCCTGATCTGTTATCGAAGTGATGGGAGCCTAGAGCACCATGACAGGAGAGTGCTGGAGAGGAGGATGGAGTAGAAATCCCAATATGCTCCCACCATTCCCTATACATGACAGGAGAGTGCTGGGGAGGAGGATGGAGTAGGCATCCCAATATGCTGCCACCATTCCCTATACATTACAGGAGAGTGCTGGAGAGGAGGATGTAGTAGGGATCCCTATGTGCTCCCTCCACTCCCTATACATGACAGAAGAGGAGGATGTAGTAGGGATCCCTATGTGCTCCCTCCACTCCCTATACATGACAGAAGAGGAGGATGTAGTAGGGATCCCTATGTGCTCCCTCCACTCCCTATACATGACAGGAGAGTTCTGGAGAGGAGGATGTAGTAGGGATCCCTATGTGCTCCCTCCACTCCCTATACATGACAGAAGAGGAGGATGTAGTAGGGATCCCTATGTGCTCCCTCCACTCCCTATACATGACAGGAGAGGAGGATGTAGTAAGGATCCCTATGTGCTCCCTCCACTCCCTATACATGACAGGAGAGGAGGAGGAGGATGTAGTAAGGATCCCTATGTGCTCCCTCCACTCCCTATACATGACAGGAGAGCCATCAGAGGAGTACATCCAGAAATGAAGGTCAGAGGGTGGAAGAGATAAAACTATTAACACCCAATCTCGGGAATCTGTTCGTAGCTGAGGGCCACACACGGTGCAGGGGCCCTAACACACATCAGGGGCCACAGGCTGGGCATCAGTCCTAAACAACTCCATGTCAGAAGCATGCTCCCAGTGTGACAGCCCTGCAGATGTGAAGGATGAGGATGCCAAGAGATCCAAAAAGCAGCGTGTGTCCCCCTCCCCCGGTAGGTGCACACACACACCTACCTTCACCCGCAGGCACAGGAAGACCAGGAGAATCCTGAAGGCTGCCCAGCCGGCGGACGGGGTTCTCCTCCGTAAGAGCATTGCCGCCCGCTGTGGTAGTCCCGGAGCCGCTGAGACGCCGCTGATCGGAGAGCTGTGCTGTGCTCCAGCATGCACGGTGCCGCTCCTCTCCTCCTCTTTTATCCCCCTCTGCTCTGCTCTCCTCTATTATTGATCCCGAGCCTTTTCTTCTCTTTTCTGCAAATCAGCTGCAGCCGGTCCGATGAGACGAACAATGAGAGGCAGAGCGGAGAGCCCTCTGCGAGCACACTGACTGATTGCTTCATCTATGCACGGTGAGAGGGAGGAGCCGGGGGCGGGACGACGCTTCATATTCATGAGCCGGGGAGGGGCTGCTGGTCCGCTGGTCCCGCCCTCCACCTCCCATCCCTGCTGGGCTCCTCCCCCTGGAAGGGAGGTGGAGGGGGTGGACAGGTAGGAAGTGGGGATTAGCTGGCAGCAGACGATCCATCCAGGTGCCAGTCACAACAAGACGGGGAAATGACAGATCCTGGGAGCCAGTGCGGGCCTGTGCCATGGGAGAGGCTGGGGGGGAGGAGGGGAGATGACAGCACAGCTCACACCACCTCCTGTACACACAGCGCCATGGATCCGGGCTTCTCTGTACACACACGGCTCAATACACTTCTCCTTGGAGGGTGATAAAACATCCGCAACTTTACCGCCCCCCTTTAGCTGTAAAGGCAGCCAGATGACAGTGTGCGCAGTATACAGCTGCAATGCTTTGCTGCAAAAATGATCACCCCCCCCACCCCCTTATTGTGTTTGGCGACAATTACCACTGCATGCGATGAACCCTACAACTGCATGCACGCAGGTTAAAACGTAAAATATATAATTTCCTCACCGCCTGTCAAATACCTCCGCCACAGATCGCTTTTTAGAGGGGCAGCACGCACTGCCATATGTACAATGAGCCCCCATGTACAAATGTGCAGTAAAATTGTACAATGCGCAAAATCACGCATCGTTCTAGGTGCACTGCGGTGTCATGCATTCTTAAAGCAGAACTCCATGAAAATGATTTCTGCATGGGTTAATTGCTCATTTTGTCTAGGGGTGCACCGAAAGGTTATACTTACCTAATCCTTCCATCTTCCAGAAAACAGCGCTTCCCCACGTCCAGCGGTGGACTGTTCCTGCTGTCCTGACGTCCAGAGCCAGTCTATGGGTGTTATGATGGCAGGAACAGTCTATTCTCAAGACTGCTATTGTGCAGTGGGGGAGGGAGCAGCGGGGACCGGTCTTGCAGTTTTAGAATCAGATTAGGTAAGTATATCTCCACTCTGAAATTGGGGGAACGGTGTTGGCCAGAATTACAGGAAAAAGATTTGAGGGTACTTATTTCAGTTTATTGCAAAATGAGCAAACTGGGTGTTCAGGCAGTGGGGAAAGTGAATGGAATTCTGGGGTACATCACTAGAGAGGTCACCAGCAGGAGGAAATAAGTCCTGATTCTCCGATATAGAATTGTGGGGTGCATCATGTAAGCATGTACATTACTCCCATCCCACACGTTCCTGGAAATGGCAAGAAGCAAGCAGGTTCTGTAGCAACTACCAGCTGGAAACTGGTAACATTGCAGGTCAAAGTATGTCACCAGCACACTGCTGACCTTTGAGATAATGTACAAATGTTTATCCAGGTGATCACATCTCAGCAGCAAGATGCAAAGTTTTGGGGCCGTGCAGGTTCCCTTTGTCAGGCATGTAATGATTCTTAGTTGGATCACCAGCAGGAGGAAGGAGGTCCTGATACTGCTATATAAATTTTTAGTTAGCTCTAGAGGGATCACCAGCAGGGGGAAGGAGGTCCTGATTCCTCTTTTATAGATCTTTAGATTTCACTAGAGGGATCTCCAGCAGGAGGTCCTGATTCCTCCATATAGACCTTTAGTTGTCACTAGCAGGAGGAAGGAAGTCTTGACCCCCCCATGTAGATCTTTAGTTATCACTAGAGGGGTCACCAGCAGGAGGAAGGAGGTCCTGATTCCTCTATATAGATCTTTAGTTATCACTAGAGGGGTCACCAGCAGGAGAAAGGAGGTCCTGATTCCTCTGTATAGATATTTAGTTATCACTAGAGGGATCACCAGCAGGAGGTCCTGATTCCTCCGTATAGACCTTTAGTTGTCACTAGCAGGAGGAAGGAAGTCTTGACCCCCCCATATAGATCTTTAGTTATTACTAGAGGGGTCACCAGCAGGAGGAAGGAGGTCCTGATTCCTCTATATAGATCTTTAGTTATCACTAGAGGGGTCACCAGCAGGAGGAAAGAGGCCCTGATTCCTCTATATAGATCTTTAGTTTTCACTAGAGGGATCACCAGCAGGAGGTCCTGATTCCTCCGTATAGATCTTTAGTTGTCACTAGTAGGAGGAAGGAAGTCTTGACCCCCCATATAGATCTTTAGTTATTACTAGAGGGGTCACCAGCATGTGAAAGGAGGTCCTGATTCCTCTATATAGATCTTTAGTTATCACTAGAGGGATCACCAGTAGGAGGAAGGAGGTCCTGATTCTTCTATACAGATCTTTAGTTATCCATAGAGAGTTCACCAGCAGGAGGAAGGAGGTCTTGATTCCCTATATAGAACTTTAACTATCACTAGAGGAGTCACCAGCAGGAGGAAGGAGGTCTTGACCCCTTATATAGATCTTTAGTTATCACTAAAGGGATCACCAGCAGGAGGAAGGAGGTCTTGACCCCCTATATAGATCTTTGGTTATCACTAGAGTGGTCACTAGCAGGAAGAAGGAGGTCTTGACCCCCCTATATAGATATTTAGTTATCACTAGAGGGGTCACTAGCAGGAGGAGGAAGGCTTGACCCCTATATAGATCCTTAGCTATCACTAGAGGGGTTACCAGCAGGAGGAAGGAGGTCTTGACCCCCTATATAGATCTTTAGCTATCACTAGAGGGGTCACCAGCAGGAGGAAGGAGGTCCTGATTCCTCTATATAGATCTTTAGTTATTAGGGGTCACCAGCAGGAGAAGGGGTCTTGACCCACTATATAGATTTTTAGTTATCACTAGAGGGGTCACCAGCAGGAGGAAGGAAGTCTTGACCCCCAATATAGATCTTTAGTTATCACTAGAGGGGTCAATAGCAGGAGGAAGGAAGTCGTGACCCCCAATATAGATCTTTAGTTATCACTAGAGGGGTCACCAGCAGGAGGAAGGATATCTTGACCCCCCTATATAGATCTTTAGCTATGACTAGAGGGGTCACCAGCAGGAAGAAGGAGGTCCTGATTCCTCTATATAGATCTTTAGTTATCACTAGAGGGATCACAAGCAGGAGGAGGAAGGCTTGACCCACTATATAGATTTTTAGTTATCACTAGAGGGGTCACCAGCAGGAGGAAGGAGGTCTTGACCCCCTATATAGATCTTTGGTTATCACTAGAGGGGTCACTAGCAGGAGGAAGGAGGTCTTGACCCCCCTATATAGATCTTTAGTTATCACTAGAGGGGTCACTAGCAGGAGGAGGAAGGCTTGACCCCTATATACTGTAGATCTTTAGCTATCACTAGAGGGGTCACCAGCAGGAGGAATGAGGTCTTGACCCCCTATATAGATCTTTAGCTATCACTAGAGGGGTCACCAGCAGGAGGATGGAGGTCCTGATTCCTCTATATAGATCTTTAGTTGTCACTAGAGGGGTCACCAGCAGGAGGAAGGAGGTCTTGACCCACTATATAGAGTTTTAGTTATCACTAGAGGGGTCACCAGCAGGAGGAAGGAAGTCCTGATTCCTCTATATAGACCTTTAGTTATCACTAGAGAGGTCAATAGCAGGAGGAAGGAGATCTTGACCCCCTATATAGATCTTTAGCTATGACTAGAGGGGTCACCAGTAGGAGGAAGGAGGTCCTGATTCCTCTATATAGATCTTTAGTTATCACTAGAGGAATCACCAGCAGATGGAAGGATGTCCTGATTCCCCTATGGAGATCTTTTAGTTATCACTAGAGGGATCACCAGCAGGAGAAAGGAGGTCCTGATTCTCCATTATAGAATTCTGGGCGATCGCCAGCAGGAGGAATGTGTGGGAAGGCTTCTTTTTTCAACAGACAAATGTGATGTTGTGAGACGCATGCGTGAGCTGGATTAAAACTGAATTCCAGGTATGGATTTTATTGCATAGTTACTTTGATCCAGTTGAACCAATGTAAGTATACATATGCCATACCTGGGGACTGCTGTGAAAGTTGAGAATCACTGTAGTAGTCACCACTCCTATAGTGATCACCACTATCTTCTGGCTCCTTCAACCCACTGCCCTGCTGTCATAGTAGCCAGAGAGGGTTGTTCGCTTGGCACAGGTTCCATTCACAGAACACCTTGCATTTTTCCAATAAATGAAAGGCATTCTCTAATTGGATGAGTTTGTGAGGCAGGTGGTCATGTCATTATCTCCACCTTGTCCAATGAGACAACACTTTGCATTCATTGAGCAAATTGAAAGGCGCCCCCTGTGATTGCTATGCAGCTTGGAAGTCACTTGGCACAGGACCTCAAAGACAGCTGTGACCACTGTAGTAGTGATTTCTACAGTGAATCTCCACTTCAACAAGGATCCCACAGGTATGAGGTACGGTAATATACACTCCCCGGCCACTTTATTAGGTACACCTTGCTAGTACCAGGTTGGACCCCCTTTCACCTTCAGAACTGCCTTAATTCTCTGCGGCATAGATTCTGCAAGGTGTTGGAAAAAATCCTCAGAGATTTTAGTCCATATTGACATGAGTTGCCTTTCTGTCATTTTGAACCAGTCTGACCTCCGTCATCAACATGGCATTTTCATCCACACAACTGCCGCTCACTGGATATTTTCTCTTTTCTCTCTAAACCCTAGATATAGTTGTGTGTGAAAATCCCAGTAGATCAGCAGTTTTCTTAACCTCCCTGGTGGTATTCCCGAATGTAGCTCGGGGTAAAGTTTCAGTACCAAGAGCGGTAACCCCGAGCTACACTCGGGCTTACCATGCAGCGTTGCATAGGGAGTCCCTG